CGAATTTTTTCTAAGCTCTATACTAAACATTAAATCTGTTACGAAAAAAGAACTAAACAAAATGAACACAAAACGATAAAAAAAAAGGACTCGTAACTGGAAAAACCGAATGAAAAATGAATGTTAACAACAAATACTTTTTCACACACAACCCAGTTCTGCGGAATCAGAATCAACGTTGTGTTTAAGCAAGCGAATGAGCCAATTGGAGTAAAGTGCCATGCAGATTTAAGTTTTTCCCACTTGTGACGAATGCAGCTATCGATTTTTTTTTCATGCTAACATGCTAGTTAACATTCGTGTCAGTCAGCTGTTGGCTCTCATGCTGGCCCATAGAATCTTCCTGCCTATTCGTGGCAGCCAGATATAGGTTCTCACTCTGGCCGGTAGAAAATGGCCGCAAACTACATGAAAACTGCCGTAGAAGCATAAAAAAACGATTATTTCCACTATCGATGGGAGTTGGGAAATTCAAAGTCGGTCTTGGCATGTGCATGTAAATTTTGGTGCAAATCCGTCGAAAATTGCGGCCGTGCATTCGTTACACACACATACACACAGAGACATCCTGCCTTATATATATATATATATATATATATATATATATATATATATATATATATATATATATATATAAAGGGTGTCCATAAAGTTCGCATGCACTTTAAAAAAATTTATAACTTTTTGTATTTGTGTTAGAAATAATTTGTAAAAAGGATTAGAAAGAAGTAAATCTATATGTTCTTAAGGTTTTATTGAAATTTTCTTTAAGTTTCCACATGTCCTCCATCATTAGCAATACAAACGATAATACGATTTTGCAGTTCACGGAAAACATTTGCCAACTGATTTACAGTAATGCCTGAAATCACATTAGTTATTTTAGCTATAATTAAAACTAGGTACATTAAACTTTATAACATTTTTTACAGATTATATCTATCGCAAATACAAATAAAGTTATAATTTTTTAAAGTGCACACGAACTTTATGGACACCTTGTATATATCATTTTTCTGTCTCACAACCCTTTCCCCATAGACAAAACGCCGCAAACAACTGGCTACTCTATCGCTATTTCTATGGAAATGGTTTTGGTAGCTTACATTCTCTTGTTACACTACTTCAAATATCTACCTGCCATGATATAGACACAACAGGAAACCATCCTCATTCACTTTATATTCCACTTCTTCCCAAGAATGGTCACTTTCTGGAACAGACTCCCAAGTGAATGTATCACCAAACATTACAATCTTAACCTCTTCGAGTCTAGATTCAGCCCAATGCTACACAATTTCCTTACAGATGAAGAAGAGACAACAAAAGGAGGCTGAGAATACAATGGACTGTACATGTGTGCAATGACGAAGTTTTAGACAAAACAGAAACAGAATGAAACTTTTACTTAACATCAGAAAGAGAAAACTGAAATGTCTGGGGCATATTAATGAGGAAAGGGGTCTTATAAAATTTGACACTCGTAAGACATATTAAATACAACAGGGACAGGGGAAGGCAGCGCGTAACCCCTGCCGCATGAGCTTGTGAAAATCTTGGGGGAAAGGGATTAGGGAAGATAGCAAAAGGGCAAACCTTACTAAGAGCTACAAAGGATAAAAATTGTGGAGAGCCATGATCGCCCACTTTCTGAAGTCACACAGCACACAGAAGAAGAAGAAGAAGAAGAAGAAGGTGGAAATGTTTTATAGAACAGGGATAAAGACAGAAAACAAATAGGCAAACCTTACTAAGAGCTACAAAGACAGGAAATTGTGGAGAGCCATGATCGCCCACATTCTGAAGTGACACTGTACATAGAAAAAGAAGAACCAGATTGTGTAAATGTTTGGAAGAACAGGGATTAAGAGAGAAAACAATTAGACAAACCTTACTAAGATCTACAAAGGACAGGAAATTGTGGAGAGCCATGATCGCCCACGTTCTGAAGTCACACAGCACTAAAAAGAAGAAGAACCAAATTGTGTAAATGGTTGGTAGAACAGGGATTAAGAGATAAAAAAAATAGACAAACTTTATTAAGAGCTACAAACGACAGGAAATAGTAGAGAACCATGATCGTACACATTCTGAAGTGACACGTCACATAGAAGAAGAAGAAGAAGAAGAAGAAGAAGAAGAAGAAGAAGAAGAAGCAAATTGTGTAAATGCTTGGTAGAACAGAAGACAGAAAGCAAATAGAAAACACTTTGGAGATTCATGATGGCCCACGTTATGAACGAACACGGCATATATAATAATAATTTATGGCCTGTGTTCTTAATTCTTTGCTGCTTTTATAATTCTTATCATTCTTTCCATGTATCTTATTCCAGAAATCTGGGAGATTGCATCATAAAGTCTACTTTTACATCGTTTTCTCTCATATTACTGGTAATTTTGTTTTTTGGTTGACCATTTTAAACTTATCAAAGATCTGCTTTGATAAATGTTAAGAGGTTAAGAAGAATTATATCACTTTATTTCTTTTTAACAGTTAATCTCACCATAACTCTGCTTCTGCAAACGATATTTAAACTTTGTGCCATTAAAAAAAAATTGTTTCAATTCTAATATTTGAAAAAAAAATAGGTTTGGTTTGGTTTATTTTGTTTTACGGCATATCAAACTCAATGGGGTTGTTTAATGCCGACAAGATTTTTATTGCTCGTAATTTTTTTTTTTTTCAAAAATGTATTGCTGCTAATATTTTTTCTATATATATTTTTTCAAAAATTTACAGCTGGTAATAATGTATTGCTGGTAATAATGTATTACTGGTAATAATGTATTGCTGGTAATAATTTTTCTTCAAAAATGTATTGGTGGTAATATATTTTTCAAAAATGTACTGCTGGTAATAATGTATTGCTGGTAATAATTTTTCTTTAAGAATTCGTTGCAGGTAAAAAAAAACTTTTACAAAAATGTATTGCTGGTATTAAAATCCCTTTTTACACTTTCATAGTGTTTTGACCCCAATTTAGGAATCAACAATTTTCCCATAGCTGGGACCCTAACAGGTGTTACCACACTGGGTTGGGGAGTGACCTGGGAACACAAGCGATTAAGATGTGGAATCACAAAACCTCTACAATACCTCCAGATCGGAGGCATTGCTGTTGGATGTAGTTTATCGTCATACCCAGGATGCGTATGTAGTTTATCGTCTTACCCAGGACACGGATGTAGTTTATCGTCTTACCCAGGCCGGGAGAAAAGTAGGTTTTACATTTCAATGAATATAGCTTTTCAATTCCGACATTAAGTATTTTTTTAAGTTAAAGAAACAGATAACGGAAATGTCATTTCTTTATACTAACTGTTCCTCTAATAGAAGTCTCAAGAGCCACTCGTGGTAGAGGTTAATTGATTGTAAGAGGAGATTGAAGGAAATTAAGGATCTGAGAATTAAGAGGATATGCAGCGAGTGACCCTTTTCCATGAGGTAGTTTAGATTGTAGTGCTCACGGAATCAATCATGCTGGAATTTCTCAAGAAAATTCTCCTTATAAATCAGAGCCTTTTTCGGGATCGTTCTTCTTAGAAATGGAAGACAGGGGAAATGTGGGTGATAAGAATTATGAAAGTTGTAAATGTTTGAACTGGTGAAACTAAAGAATGGAGCTCCTGTGAACACTTGTTATGCATATAGAGATAGAGTAGTGATATGTTTGCAGTGTTGCGATTAAGGGGAAAGAGGCTGCAGAGTCGAAGATAAATCACCCACTAAAAGACGGCGTAAACGATGTTCGATCTCTATCAAGGCTAAAACTGACAAGTATTAATTGATATGTAATATATCCTAAGCATGGAAAAAGAAACTAGAATATTCTATCCCCGTGAATTAAATGAAGTGCTTGAATAAAGATTCCGATAAGGCTACAGGGAACGTTGAGAGAAAAAACTGAGATAAGCATCTTGGTCCGAACAGTAAGGCATATAATAAGGAATTCCATTATTAATTTGTTTTTTGGGGGTTTTTTTGTTAATCTTTTCTTCATCTTATGGTTGATGTTTATCCCAACTTTCCCGCCGGAAAACTCTCCTAATAAGCAGCAAGTCTGAATTATCCATCGTCCATGGTCACTGAAATGTGTTTTAAATACGTAGGCGGTGCTTTAATCAATCCAATCGCGCTGCTGTAATATTCCGAACGTACACGTACGAATAAGTTTGAAGCAAAAGCAGTAGTGAAGCAAAGAAAATTGGTCAGGACAAAATAAGAAAAAAAAATGATAAGGTTTCCGAAATAGCTATTTTTCTAATACCCACCCACCTGCCTTTAATATCTGTATATATTACCTGTTAAAGTTGCAATCAATCAAGACATTCTTCTGGCGATAACAGGGAATTCAAATTATGAATAGTGGCATTGCACGGAAGGCAGCACTTTAAGTAAAATGCAAGTAAATCATTTCTATGCGCAATGCTGGGATTTGCGGGCAATTCCTCATTCGAAACTCAACAGTAGATTATATATATATATATATTGCATAATAACAGTGAAATTAGCTTAGAAGTGAAAGACGTCCACATAGATAGATAGATAGATAGATAGGAAAAGAATCAGATATATATAAGTACAATAAGATAGATGTTTATGATATATATATATATATATATATATATATATATATATATATATATATATATTGCATAATAACAGTTAAATTAGCTTAGAAGTGAAAGACGTCCACATAGATAGATAGATAGATAGATAGATAGATAGATAGATAGATAGATAGATAGATAGGAAAAGAATCAGATATATATAAGTACAATAAGATAGATGTTTATGATTATATATATATATATATATATATATATATATATATATATATTGCATAATAACAGTTAAATTAGCTTAGAAGTGGAAGACGTTCAGATAGATACGAAAAGAATCAGATATACATAAGTACAATAAGATAGATGTTTATGATATATATATATATATATATATATATATATATATATATTGCATAATAATAACAGTTAAATTAGCTTATAAATGAAAGACGTTTAGATAGATAGATACGAAAAGAATCATATATATATATAAGTACAATAAGATAGATGTGTATGATTAGCCTAAGATAGCTAGATAGATAGATAGATAGATAGATAGATACGAAAAGAATCAGGTAGATATAAGTACAATAAGATAGATGTTTATGATTAGACTTAGATAGATAGATAGATAGATAGATAGATAGATAATAGCTGGTATATTATCCGAGTTTCCGAGTTTGCCTGTCTATTCGGGGTAGCCAATCCCTGTTGCAGACATCTGCTCAGGTATATTTGTTTTGTTTGTTTGTCTTTTTTCAACATGCACAGAACTCACCTGGGGTTCATACTGAAACTATGCTGAGAGGACATCTAGAAGAAGCCACATAATTCAGCGTTATCTACAATCAGTACGCTCAACCCTCGGTCACGATGACTTGTGATATCGTGCTAGCACAAGCAGCGACGCCTCCCAAATAGGTCTGCTTACCCAAATCCCCTCAACTGTTATCAGATACTTTCCATACGTGCCACATTCTGGGATCCACTCACAAGATCGATAATATGAAGACGTCAACTTCCTGACAAATTGACCTTGGTAACTTACGAACCCGGGTATCTTGGACGGAAAACGAACGTTGTAACCACTCAGGCACGTACTCATTTGATAGATAGATAGATAGATAGATAGATAGATAGATAGATAGATAGATAGATAGATAGATAGATCATCATCATCATCTTGCGGCCTCAGCCGAGATTAAACTCACTACACCTCTCCAGTATTCCCTATCTGTCATAGCACCTAAAAGATCTTCCTTAGGGATCAATGTGTCTCGGTTAACTTGCGTGATCGATTGACAGATGATGGGTGCCTCTAGAGTACAAATGATGACACAAGTTCATCTGTGGCACGTGCACAATGCCCGGCGAACTGGACACGTCTCTTACAAACTAAAGTTGATACTCTTGGCAAGTCACCATATATCATTTCTAGAGTTGGGTGGTTTCGCCATGGGAGATTAAGCACTCTTCTTAAAAGACGTGTATAACATCCATCTAAACGACGCTGTTGTTTTGCCGAGAGAGTCCAAGTTTCAGAGCCATAGAATAAGATTGGCTCAATAAGTACGCGGAAAAGTTGGATTTTGAATTGACGAGAAAGATTGGATTTCCAGATCTTATCCATTTTGTTACAAGCAGTCCATGCTATACCTTTTCTAATGTTGAAGTCTTTCTCAGAGATAGATAGATAGATAGATTGATAGATAGATAGATAGATTGGTTTTGTTTAGCGGCATATCAATCTCTATTTAATGCCGAAATCTAAATATTTTATACTTAATTTTATGCTTTCAAATACAGGTGTTTTGTACAGAATTTTATAATATATATTTTTTGATATATATTAGGTTGGTGCAAAAATAATGACGTCATAATGTCGTCAAAAACGACATTATTACGTCATTATTTTTGCAACCAACCTAATATGTAGATAATAAAATGTACTGTTGGCAATTTTGTTATAAAAGTGTATTTTCATATATATATATATATATATATATATATATTTGGGGTTTTTTTTACTGTTAAATTGATTGTCATTTTACTATGAATATGCATTGCTGCTCATTTTATTATAAATATAAACTGTTGATTTTTGTTTAGGGACTCACAATTTTCCCATACCTGGGACCCTAATGTGTGCTACCATTCAGATCAAGGTGGACCTGTGAACAACAGCAAAACCACCAATATCTTGATCAGAGGCCTTGCTGCCGGATGTAGTTTATCGTCTTACAAAAGAAAATAGATGAATAGATTTGTGTTATATGTTTACATGTGGCACTTTGTTCCAAGCCTATCTTCCCGAGAGAAATGTAGCATAATCAATATATGCCCATGCCTCTGTCTATATTTCTGCGATGAGGTATTATGTACATTGTTTACATTATTCGGACTAAAGTCCTCATTTTTGTCACCATATTTATCACAACGTTTCGGCCGTTGTACTTCAGGTGGTTGGAATTTCGAACTGAACCCTTTATTTCGATCACTGAGGTAGACTGTTCTAGTTCCACGTGCCATGTTTTTGATGGATGTCAGTTATCAGTTATCTCCTGCTAATTTCCCTCTGAAAGTTCTCCACTGCCTTAACTGTGTATTGAACTCAGACTCTGTATTTTTCGTAAACCGACATTCACCGGACAGTACCTCTATTTCAACTCCCACCATCCATACAGCGTAAAGAAAGGGATAGTCCGTTGCTTACAACGCCGAGCAAAAGTCATAAGTGGCGACCCAGAGACGTTAGATAAAGAATTGGTCTGTATAAGTAGTACCCTACAACCTAACAACTACCCTGGGTACATAGCAGTAGCCCCCAAAAACTGAAATAGGCGGGTACAAGAGGAGGAAGACAACAATACTCAGAAAACAGTGTGCCTGCCTTATGTGAAGGGGTTATCAGAGAAAATACAAAGGATCTGC